TACTGTAATTCGACGTGTAACTCAACAATAGTCCAACTTGATAATTGGACAGTGGCATTTGCATGTCAAGAACAATAGCTAAACTAGTTTCATCCCGCATAACAATTGTTCCTTGATCAGAATAATTACCTGAGAACTGTTGAACCATGGTTGAACAAAAATGGACTGAGGATTTTATAACTCCATTGCTTGAAAGCAGGTTTAAGTTGCAATACATGTATTAGGCTTCTTGCTCATATACTAGAATTTTGTCCGGCAAAACTGTCTGTAACATAATTTCCCCAATGTTTCAACTGAACTGAACTGAACTTTAATGACATTCAGGATGCTCATGAGAAAAAATTGTTTCATTTTCTACCCCTAGCTGGTACAGAACGTGTTTGTAAGCTCTTCTTTCTTTTTTGTGGTCTACATGTAGTTGAAAGAGCATGCGAAGCTGAGTGAGTGAGTGAGTGAGTGAGTGAGTGAGTGAGTGAGTGAGTGAGGTTCAAAAATGTACAACACTGTTAACAAATGGGTGTGGATTATGCTCTCCTTCCTTATTTTCTGCTCTGAGAATGAAGTTTTACACATCACTTGGATCAGACCGCGGGCTGAGATGTAGTCCGTGAGGTCTGAATCCTTACCCCACCAGGCTGAAATTGGCACAGACAGTCTGCAAACATCAATCAATTCACGCCTTCCATGCCATTGTTTTTGGGTTTTGCACCTTTCTGACCAGAAATTCCAGACCGCGGGCTGAAGTTAGGCTGACGGTCTGAATGGTTTTTGAGTAAATCAGCCCGCGGGCTGGGATTCTACACATGTAGTCTAGTGCCTTTAGACCGAAGGTCCTGTAATTAAAACTTGCGGGCTAGTTGTTAGGCCTGACGGGCTGTTAGGAAAGACCACCGGTCTGCTTGTATTTATTATTAATTATATCTTAAGTTATGAACACTGCAGAACAATAATTTTCATATCACTGTGCTCATTACACCAAGAGCTACACACTGATGTGAAACTTGAATGTTGAAAATCAATTTTTACTTGAGTTTCCAAATGCCTTGTGACTTTCCAAAATTGATGCGACCAGTGTTATGTAATAAAAGAATTAGATGCTTATTGTGATGATGCACTGTATGTTTATCTTAGTTTTCCCATTAAATCTAATGTTGAAACCATGTTCCCCAGACTCATTCATCGTCTGCAGCACAAACAGCAGAAGCTCTGTACGCGCTGGACTCCTCCCGTGCCGCCAGACATCGCAGGGCAGCGGCAACAACCGACAAGGAAATCTCACAAATGGTGAGAAAATATCTTTCTTCCTGCTGTGTAGCTGTCAGCCATAACACCCCTCAAAAATGTTTTTGGTACAAAATGTCAACATCCTTTATTTTTCTATGGATTACTCCTTAGAAAGTTACAGGGAAAATTAAGTGTTTCTTGTTGTATCTGTCTTGCAAAACTACCTCAAATAATGTCTGTACATGAACATGTTTCACCATCTGGTTCAGCAAGTGTTCTTGTAAGTTGTCTGGTCTTCTGTGCTTCTATACTTTGTATATACTACGTTCAGCTACATGTATGTGTTAAG